AGAGAGAGAGAGAGAGAGAGAGAGAGAGAGAGAGAGAGAGTGAGGAATACTGGGATTTTTTTTGAAATTTGATTAGAAACTTAGAAATGATAGAGGAGAGAGAGGAATATTGGGATTTTGTTTGAAATGAAATTTGATTAGAAACTTAGAAATGTGAGAGACTGAGAGAGGGACACATGAATATTGGGATTCTCTTTGAAATGTTGGGAAAAGAATTGGTTAGAAAACTATATAATAAGGAAAAAGTTTACATGGAGCTGGCCTCTAAACAATACTGGAAGAGGTTCTTTTGATGTTCAAATATCTTTAAATTGATCATCTCGACATAAAGATGCATGGACATGAAAAAAACATACAGTTCGTGTTTTAAAAATAATGCATCTTGTAACATATTTTTGAACAGTCATTTTTCAAGATTTGCAAGTTTTCATAAATATTCTCGACCTACACTATTTTGAAGCTTTAAATTTTATAATTAAAGATGAAAATATATTTTAAGGCTATCACAAAAATTTCTAATATTGAAACCACATTTCTTAATATCATTTGAAGGTGTGCTTTTACTTTGATTGTTTAGAGCCTTAGCTCTATAAAAACCGCACCCAAAAAATAAATGGAAATTCTGATAGTAGATAGAGAGAGATGAATGTTGGTTATAGACCTTGCTGGAATTTTGAAAAATAAATGAATTTTGTAATATTTTGGGGCCTTCGAAAAATGTTTCTTTTTACTCCGCTCAGGCTGAGTTCAGTAGGGCTGAGAAGGGGTTGGATCGTGATCCAAAATACTTGGATCCGATTTCGATTTCAGATCCAAATTCAAAAATTATTCATAGGATTTAAATTAAAAAATGGACCCTATCGGAACGAAAAAAACATCTTATATATATTTTTTATATAAAATAATATATAACAAAGAAGTATTATATAACATATATGTATATATAAAACATATATATAATATTTTTAATAACTGGGTCGGATCTAGATCAGATCTATCGGTACCTGGATCCAATCCAAATACTATTTAGATCTAAATTTATCCTATTCGATCCATCCGATCCAAATCTTGAATCCATACGCAGATCTAGATAGGGTCTAAAATTCGAGTTTTGGATCCAAACGGGGTAAATTCTCACCCCTAGAGCTCGCCCACTTACCTGGGGAGTTACTTTGCGAGTCCAAGTCAAATTGCCCGAGCCCTACCCTAGATAAGGGGGCAAAAAACCCAGTACAAAAATCTACAAGAAATTATGAAAAGAAATCATACCAAGAAGTTCACTAAAAAAAAAAGGTAAATAGAATATATAATAGAAAAATTTGTTGCTTGGCTTGAAAGAATATGCATTTCAATTGAAAAATAAATAATACCTAGAATATCAAGGCTGATCCCCCGATCTTAATGGTGCGAAACAATATTTACAATTCTTTCCCAAAGCTTCGTCATGCAGCTCCAATCAATAATCCGATTTCGACTTTGGATCTAAGGCATCTAAGTCTGTTAAAATGTTGACTAAATCTTGAAGAGATTATATATTGTGAGATTATTTGTCTTTGTTACAAGGAGCTCATAATAACTCCTAGTTATCAGTTGTCAAGTTAGATGGTTTGAAGTGTCTCACAAGATTCAAGAATTTTTTTCTTGAACTTTGTATAAAAGTGCACCTCTAAATTTTACAATAAGATGTAACTTTTGTGTCATTTTTTTTGGAATGGCCTTATGATCCATTTTTATGTTTAATTATGAAATTTTAAATTTAAAAAATAATTTCAATCAAGTAGCTCTATATATATCAAAATCTTGAAAAAATAGACCGCTCAAATAACATGTTGCAAGATTTATCATTTTTGGGACTTGAAATCTTTCAATTTTCACATGTTTATATATTTAATGTCGAGATTATCAATTAAAAAATACCAAAATAGCCTTTTCCAATAGATTTTTAGAAGTGTATCTTAATTCTACATTTCATACCAAAATAGCCTTTTTCCAATAGATTTTTGGAAGTGCACCTTAATTCTACATTTCATTATGAAAAAAATGTTTCTATTTTTTCTAGTTTATAAAGTCATAAAATTAGTCCTATAATATTTGGTTTTATCTGAGGGAGCAAAGCGGTGTACTCCCGCGGAAGTATAAAATATTTCGGCGCAAATGAAGGAAATTAAGGCTCGCTTAGAGAGAGAGAGAGAGAGAGAGAGCGAGAGAGGCGGCTTTGCTCTTAGAGAGAGAGGCCTTGCTCGTAGAGAGAGAGAGGAAAACCCGTGGTGAAAATGGATCCATCAGAGAATGGAGCTACATTAATGGAGTTAGACGACCATGGACAGCAAAACCTGCCATCCACTTTTGAGAAACCCATTAAAGTAATTGATTTGCTTCGAAAGTTTCTCTCTCTTCAACAGAGAAGGGCCGCTGCGTATGAAAGGCTAAGAAAGTAGCGAGCTCTATTTCTCTCTGTCTTTCTCCCTCCCTCTCTGATACTTTGAAGTAGTTATCTTTCCATTTTTCTCTCTCTCTATACCTGTTATTCAATTGTATTTTTTGTTTTGGTGATGCTTGAATGTGCCTTTGATTAATTCAGGAATAATTTAGGGATTATTTGGTTACATTAGAGCATTAATAATTCGCCACATTGAAGAATTGGATCAGTTTTTTTTTTCATTTCTCTTTTTGTTGAGCTAGTTTTCCTATTTGAATAGCCCTAATTATCTTCTGCTTATGATTTCTGTGATCCCATTTATAGCTTTCTCTTATTGTTGTTGTAATTATTCTTCCCATTTTTATTTCTTTGAATCGTTATTGACAATTGGGTATTTCTGTACATAAGTGTATATAATCTTTCAAATTGTAGAAATTTGTGATTAGGGTTGAAATCCGTAAAACAAAAAGGAAAATACATTGTTCAAATTTTGATGAGTCGGTTTCACCCTATATATATATATATATATATATAATGCAATGGCTGTCTAATAATACAATGCAACAATCTTCAAAAATCATGTTAGGGCCATTTGTGTTGGGCTCACCCAATTAAAGCCCTCTCGCACGATTGCGGAGGTGCCCAGTGGAACACGAATATATGGGACACAAATTATGGCAAAGCCGATGTGTGTGTAGGAGTGGAAAAATCATGCCAATAAAGCAAATAAATCTTACTAACATCGAGATTTACGTGGTTCATCTTTTTAGGCTACATCCACGGGAGAAAAATATCAAATCTACTATTAATTCAAATGTTACAATAGTCTTCCAATAAAGAAGCTCTTTGGGCTCTCTGGTTTCTTATGGAGAGTTCTCTTTTTAGGTTTTCTTCTATGAGGTTCTTCTCTCTCTCAGAGGCTTTTTCTCTCTCTCAGAGGTCTTTTTCTTTCTAGAAGCTTTTCTCTCTCTAAAAAGAAAATGTTCTCTCTTTTTCTCTTCTTCTTATCTCTAAGAGCTGGTTAACTCTCTCTTCTTCCTTTTCTTTGCAAAAGAAGGCTCCCTGTATTTTTCCTAATACACCAAGAAGAGTCAACAACACAAGAGTCTCCTACGTTTTTCTCTTTTATATATGGGCCAATGGGATAATAACCATATTTAGAAGTGTATCCCATAACCTCTTAAAAGGTGATCTATTTTTATTTCTTTTTAGAAAGAGATAAGAGAAACATCTACCCATACCAAAATTATATGTGAGATCCCTCCTACCATGGGACAGGACACCCGAGGTAATGTACAAGGCTAGGTTCGTTGTGAAAGGTTTCGGGCTGAAAAAGGAAATCGATTTTGATGGAAGCTTTTCTCCTGTGGTGAAAATGTCATCAATCCGTGTGGTGTTAGGCCTGGCTGCAAGCTTGAATCTAAACATAGAGCAACTAGATGTCAAGACTGCCTTTCTCCATGGTGATTTGGAGGAAGAGATATATGTGGAGCAGCCAGAAGGATTTTTTTTTGATAACTGTTGACAATTATATTAATAAGAGAAGAGATACAAGATTAGTCCAAGGAGCTTTAAAACTAAGGCTCTTGGTAAAAAAGAATTGGTCGAAAGTCTGTAAACAAAATGGGGTTATAAAATATCCCCTTACATAGTATTCAGCACATGTACAAAAGCGATACAAGAAAAAAAGGGGGGTGGGGGGGTCTTAAAACCCAGGCCGAGAGAAACACCAGTAGAGAGGTAGATAAAGGCCCGACCCAAAAAGAGCAGTGGTAGGGCCTATACTTCTTCAAGGGCCAAGGCTCTGTCCTTGGCTAGCAGATCGGTGAATCCATTCGATGACCTCGAGATATGTGTCCATGAGACAGGCGTCCCCCTGCAAAGATAGTCAATCTCATCATAATAGTCTACATGGATTTAAGGTTAAAAGAAAAGAACACATGGTTTGCAAGCTGGAAAAGAGTCTATATGGGCTGAAACATGCCCCAAGGCAATGGTACAAGAAGTTCGACTCCTTCATGGGGAGTCATGGGTACAAGAGGACATCTTCATAGCATTGTATATTTGTTAGGAAGTTTTCTGACGATAACTTCATAATTCTTTTACTGTACGTTGATAACATGCTAATTGTCGATCAAGACATTAGCAAGATTGACAGGTTGAAAGAAGAGTTGATTAATGCCTTTGCCATGAAGGACTTAGGCCATGCTCAACAGATCTTGGCCATGAAGATCTCTCGTGACATGAAGGCTAGGAAGCTATGGTTGTCACATGAAAGCTACATTGAGAAAGTGCTTGAAAGGTTCTATATGAACAATGCAAAACCTGTCGGTTCCCCACTTGAAAATCATTTCAAGTTAAGTGTCAAGCATAGCTCTTCAAATAAGAATGAGAAGGAAGAAATGCAGATAGTTCCTTGCGCGTTGGCTGTAGGAAGTTTAATGTATGCCATGGTGTGCACGAGGCTAAATATCGCACACGCAATTGGTGTAGTGAGCAGATTTATCGCTAATCTTGACAATGAACATTAGGCAGCAATCAAGAGGATACTCAAATATTTTAAAGGAGCATTCAAAGTATGTTTGTGCTTTGGGGGAGGTAAACATGTGTTACAAGGGTACACAGATGCTAACATGGCTGGAGATGTAGGCTCCAGGAAGTCAATCTTGGGATACCTGTTTACTTTTGCAAGGGGAGCTGTTTCATAGCAGTCCAAATTGCAGAAGTGTGTGGCTCTGTCGACCTCAGAGGTAGAGTACATTGCAGACACTGAAGCCTGCAAGGAAATGATATGGATGTCGATATTCATCCAGGCGCTGGGCTTAAAACAGGACAAGTATATCGTCCATTTTGACATTCAAGGCGCTATTCACTTGAGCAAGAATGCTAGCTTCCATTCTAGACAAAGCATATTGATGTGCATTACCATTGGATTCGGTATGTTCTAGAGAAGAAGTTATTGCAGCTAGAGAAGATCCATACCGACAAGAATATGTCGGATATGATGACCAAGACCTTAGTTAGAGATAAGCAAGAGCTATGCAAATGCATGACAGGCATGGGTGCCTTCTAGCACCTGGTTGATCTGCAAAGGATAACCTTCCCCAAGGACTGGAGGGGGAGATTCTTGGGTGTCTCGTCCTATGGTGGGAGGTGAATCAATGAAATTTATCCTAGCTAAAGGGGTAGTTTGGAAAAGTGTGATTTGCTGACCAAGTCACCTTCCTATACAAATAGGATCTCACGTATGGTTTTGATATGGGTAGATATTCCTCTTATCTCTTTCTAAAAAGAGATAGAGATGAACCACCTTTTAGAAAGTTACAAGATACACTTCCAAATATGGTTATTATCCCATTGGCCCATATACAAAAGGAAAAACATGGGAGACTCTTTGTGAATGGGTTGTTGTTGACTCTTCTTGGTGTATTGGAAAAATACAAGAAGCCTTCTTTTGTAGAGAAGAAGAAGAAGAAGAGAGAGAGTTACCCTTCTCCTAGAAAGAAGAAGAAGAGAGGGAGAGAACCTTTCCCTTTTTTTAGAGAGAAAGCTTCTAGAAAAGAAAGAAGCCTCTGAGAGAGAGAAGAAAACCTAGAGAAAGGAGTCTCTGGAAGAAACCAGAGAGCCCAAGAAAGTTTCTTAGGAGATCATTGTAATCTTTGAGTTAATAATGGATTTGATCTCTTTTTCCTATGTACGAAGCCTGAAAAGGTGAACCACGTACATCTGGTGTCAGTAAGATTTATTTGCTTTATTGCATGTTTTCCCAATCATAAACACATCGATTTTAGCATATTTGTGTCCCATATATAATTGAGTTCTGTTGTACACATCTGAGCATATGCTCACGACGGGTGCAAGGTTCAGTGGTTTTCTATTAATCCCGCTCTTTGATCATAGTCATTGCTCTTGGGCTTTGCCCCGACTTTAATTAATTTAGCTCTTTGGGGATTTGGAACACGGTGATAGCTAATCGTAACGTATGAGCGATAGCTAATCGTAACGAACAAGCGATAACTAACCATAACGCATGGGTGATAGCTAACAGTAACGTACGGGCGATAGCTAACCGTAAATCACAGGCGATAGCTAATCGTAAATCACGAGCGATAGCTAACCGTAACGCACGGGCGATAGCTAACCGTAACACACGGGCGATAGCTAACCGTAACATGCGGGCGATAGCTAATTGTAACAGACGGTGGATAGACAGTGCGTGTGGATAGATGGATTCCAGTACTGAGAGCATAATAATATCGCTCAATGGGAATAACTGAATCATCTGGAAGCCAAAGATAGAAGATTTATTATACTGTCGGGACTTGTACGCACCTATTGAAGGGGTAGAATACAAGCCCAAAGGTATGACAAACGATGAGTGGAAGAGACTAAACCGAAAGGCTCTCGGAACTATCCGACAATGGTTGGAAGAAAATGTGTTCCATCATGTGTCAACGGAAATATCTGTCAAGTGATTGTGGAATAAGATACATGACTTGTATGAGAGGAAGACCATCGGAAATGAGGTGTTCTTGATCCGAAAATTTGTGAACATGAAGTTCAAGGATGGAGGTTCCGTTGTAGAGCACTTGAATGAGGTGCAAAGCATTGCTAACCAACTCGCAACGATGAAGTTGTTCCTTGAAGATGAGCTATAAGTTATGTTTTTGCTCGGTTCACTACCGGACAATTGGGAGACCCTTGTAGTCTCTGTGAGCAACTCAGCACCTGATGGGATAGTGACCATGAGTCAGGTCACTAACAGTCTGCTGAATGAGGAGACGAGAAGAAGATCCTTCGACACATCAAACTCGCAAGCTCTTGTCACAAATCGAGGAAGGTCCAAAGCAAAGGATCACATAAGGATAAACTAGAGTGAAGTCAAGAAAGGGAGTCACCCTTGAAGTCTCTGTGAGCAAGTCAACACCTGATGGGATAGTGACCATGAGTCAGGTCCCTAACAATCTGCTGAATGAGGAGACGAGAAGAAGATCCTCCGACACATCAAACTCGCAAGTTCTTGTCACAAATCGAGGAAGGTCCAAAACAAAGGACCAAATAAGGATAAACATAGAGTGAAGTTGAGAAAGGGGGTCACGTGGTATCATTGTGGCAAGAAAGGTCACTTCAAAAAAGATTGTCGGAAGCTCAAGAAAGAGCAGAATGAGGATAATGCCAAGGATGTTGGCAGGCAACCCACTGCAATGATCGCAGATGTTGGTGTGGTCAGAAACTGTGGTGATGGACTGGGTTGAAGATACCGGAGCATCGTTTCATGTTACCTCACATAAACGTTATTTTACTTCTTACAGAGTGGGAGATTTTGGCCCTGTAAAGATGAGGAACAACGGTTTCTCAAATATTGTGGGTAAGGGAGATGTACACATTAAGATTGATGTTGGGATGAAGCTTGTGCTAAAGGACGTCAGACATGTAGCAGATATCCATCTAAACCTCATTTCGGGAGGTTGTTTAGATGAAGAGTACCACTTAGTGTTCGGTAAGGGACATTGGAAGCTGACAAAGGGATCTCTTGTAATAGCAAAGGGCAAGAAGCGTTGTTCACTCTACAAAACACACGTGCAAGTCTCTGATGGCGAAGTTAATGCCGCCATGGAAGAATGCTCACAAGATCTGTGGCACATGCGTCTTGGCCACATGAGTGAGAAAGGAATGCAAATCTTAGCAAAGAAGTAGATTCTTCCCAATGTCAAGAATGCATCTCTATCCCCATGTGACCATTGTTTGCTAGGTAAACAACTTAGAGTCTCTTTCTCTAGTAAGAGCTCTAAAGATACGAAAATCCTGGATCTGGCGTATTCAGATGTGTGTGGTCCCATGGATGTTAAATTGCTCGGTGGCGCATCATACTTCGTCACATTTATTGATGATGCTTCAAGAAAGGTGTGGGTGTATTTGATGAAATCGAAAAATTAAGTGTTTGAGATCTTTCAGAATTTCCATGCTAAGGTGGAAAATGAGACATGCAAGTTGCTAAAGTGTCTCAAATTAGACAATGGGGGAGAGTACACCTCAAATGCTTTTAAATGCTATTGTGTCAAGCGTGGCATAAGGCACGAAAAGACAGTGTCATATAACCCCAACATAATGGTGTAGCAAAGAGAATGAATCGCACCATTATGGAAAGAGTTAGGAGCATGCTATCCGCCGCCAAGTTATGAAAGCCGTATTGGGGTGAAGCAGTCATCGAAGCATGCTACCTAATAAATAGATCCCTATCATTTCCTTTGGATGGTGATATCCCAGAGAGAGTTTGGACCGGAAAAGATATCTCTTATTCACACTTGAGGGTGTTCGGATGCAGGGCATTGGTGCACATGCCAAAGGAACATAAATCCAAGTTGGATGAGAAAGCACTCTTATGTACCTTCTTAGGGTACTCAAATGAAGAGTTCGACTATAGGCTATGGGATCCTGAGAACAAGAAGGTGATAAGGAGTAGGGATGTGGTATTTCAGGAAGACCTTACTATTGAAGATGTGAAGAAGTTAGAAAAGCCACGGATCTCCAATGGTTCAGAACCGGTCATAGTTCCTCCTACCGTGATACATGAAGTTGGGGGAGAAGTGCAATAAGAGGATGGATCCAAAGAGTTTGACATGCCAGTTCCGAGTGATGAGGAGCAGGGGGAGCAGCATGTTCAAGAAGTGTCACCTACAGTTGAACTGAGAAGGTCCTCTAGGAGACATAAACCCTCTACCAGTTACCCTACATTGCAGTATGTCCCATACACTGAAGGGGCTGGACCAGAGAGCTATTGGAAGTCAAGGCCGACAAACATAAAAGGGTGTGGGTTAAAGCTATGCAAGATGAGAACAAGTCCTCGCATAAGAATCACACCTATGACCTAGTAAAGTTGACGAAAGGCAAGAAGGCACGGGAGTTAAGTGCCAAGAAGAACCCTTCAACCAAGAGGAAGAAGGAAGATACTCAGAAAATGCCCTATGGGTCGGTTGTAGGAAGTTTGATGTGCGCCATGGTGTGCATAATGACATATATCGCACACGCAGTTAGTGTAGTAAGCAGATCTATCGTTAATCTTGGCAAGGAACACTGGGCAGCAGTCAAGTGAATATTTAAATATCTCAGAAGAACATCCAAAGTGTGTTTGAACTTTGGGGGAGGTAAATCTGTGTTACAAGGGTACACAGATGCAGACATGGCTGAAGATGTAGACTCTAGGAAGTCAATCTTGGGATATCGAGAGTTGTTTCATAGAAGTTCAAGCTACAAAGGGTGAAAAACTGTTGCAACTAGGGAAAAACCATATCGACAAGAGAAAGACCTTGTCCAAAGACAAGCAAGAGTTATGCAGATGCATGACAGGCATGGGTGCCTTTTAGCACCCGGTTGATCTGCAAAGGATAACCTCCCCCTAGGACTGGAGGGGGATATTGTTGGGTGTCCCGTCCCATGGTGGGAGGGGCATCAATAATTTGTTTGATCCAAATTTTAAAATATACACTCTTTTCATTCTAATGAACAATCATAAAAAAGAAAAATTTGAAAAACCAACCTAGAAAGTATTTATTTAGCCCAATTAACATTGGCCGTCTATTTTGCTAAGATGCTTAGATCTAGGCCTTAGAATGATATTTTTTCTTTCCAAATTTTTTAAAATATTAAAAAAGAAAAAAATGATTTTGAATTCATGAAGGCTTAGATCTTGAAATTCATCAAATGGACGGTCTAAATTCATTGTTGGAGGGGATTCATTTTGACCATATATAGGGTGAAAATTAGTTTTTTTTTTTTTAGATTGATTATTGAGATGAAGAGAGTCTATGTGCAAAATTTTGGGTCATGCAAATACCACAAACATGGTTTTCTAGAAGTGTGGTTGCATTATACTATGATAAAACTGTTGCATTAGATCATATCCCGTATATATATATATATATATATATATATATATATATATATACACTATATATATATATATATATACTACACTACTATATATATACTACTACACACACACACACACTACACACACTCTATAGTACTAACACTACTACTATAGTTGTACGTACGTACGACGAACGTAAATTAAGTAAGTTAAAGTAAGTACGTC